TGTTTCAGATTTAATTACTAGTTTTAAATGGATATCTGTGATACACTAGTGGTTTTACTGTTCTTCGTCAACAGGGTTTTAATTTCTAATTTTATTGATCTATAATATAATTATTAATTGTTCTCGTCACGATATGGCTGAAATATTGCCGAGGTTACGATAAATATTAACTCACTCACTTATACCGGCGGTCATTTTTATAATAAATATATTTTCAGAGCGTCCTGAAAGCGTCGTAACAAGATATGTAGGAATACATGTGCGCTTGTGCAAATATTCTTAACGTGTCCATAATCGCTTCATGCCATTTATTTCGTAATTCCGTTTCGAATATTGCCCTTCATTTCAACTTAGTCAAATCTACCATATCATTTCCAAACAGAAATATTGCAGCATTGTATTTTTGCTGAACAGCTTGCCTGTATAAGCCAGACAGTTTTGTGTTGGAGGCAGACTCAACATGACGTGGAATGGATACGTATTAACATCATTTTAAGAACACTTTTGTTTCTGTGCCTTCTTTATCGGAAAATTATAAATTATTCAGGATTCATGTCTATGCTTCGTGTGTCTTCTTCCTGTTTTGTACGTGAGATAAGAGTGATGAATTGGCATTTGCATACTTATGCAGTGAATTGATCCCAATTTATCTCAGGATCTAACTAATTCTGTTTACGAAATATGACTGGGTTGTGACCTACTTTTTTCCGATGCCGACAAAATCAACATGTGACCTTATTCTTAACTCAACGAACCGATACAGCTGGAACGTGAAAGACACGCCTGACTCGAATACATGTAAAGGAAATACAGACCTCGGATATCCGGACACCTTCGTTTTTACGTAAATCGTCCGGATATTTGAATATCCGGATATCTGGAATTTTGGTTTTCATACACATCAAGGATAATCCAAAATGTTTATGATCATCAAGCCTTTATTGTACATGTATAGACAATAAATAAAAACAGCATCACAACATAACAATCATACCTTTGCAATTATTCAGTTTTGAAAAAGTCTTTCATTGGGGACTGCTTACACTGGGTGCCGCTCCTTTGCAACACGATGGAGAACATTTTAGACACACTGCACTTTTATTGCTTTGACTGAATAAACAACTTAACAGTTAGAACTCAATGGTTAACTCAGTGTCAGCTAGGCCTAATCACCACCAATACCTTGTTGACCGATCATTAATCCGGATTAGCAGACCATGTCTCGTGTCAAAACACGTGGGACTCTCGCGCTTCCCTTCACACGGTCAACGGCAGATCAAAGCTTCGTGCGGATACGAGAGTCAATTTTTGTTGATTTAGCCGGTTGGTTTGTAAAATATACCGTTCGGAAACGGAAACTGAATATCCGTTATAGACAGTCACTTTTATACCGTAAGAGATTGTTTTTTCTAAACATTGACCGGAAGGCGAGGTTTCCGGATATCTGGGGGGTCCGGGTATCCGAGGTCTCACTGAACTTAAACACTGTACGCATGTTTAAGCGAGTAGTGTATGTTTTGGGTTCTTGAGATCGAGCGATCACTCTGGCTGCCTTGTCCTGTACAGCTTCTCCTGTCGGTACAGATGGAATGATTGTTAGGTTTGTGTAAGTAACAAACCTTATATTGCGTTAATTCTAGTATGGTTGTGAATGAACGTCTATTGAAGAATTTCCACAGTGTAGCCCTCTGATCCAAGGCCTTTGAGAATCTCTGTCTATGAACAGCAGGTTGTCTACTGAAACGTTTCCTTATAAAGGCAAATCCAATCACAGCACTCGTTTCAGTAGATACTCATCTAACACTCAACAAGAGCGAGTGAAGGACACACTTGTGGCTTACGAATCGACCCACTGGAGTGATGAACAATGAGAAGCCCTATTGTATTTTCATTTTCAATGTTCGGACCTATCTATTCTTCATGACTTTTTATCATAGAAATACATGTAAAATGATCCTATTGGTAACCGATCATTGCTTAAAGTATCTGGCCTCTGCTTATCATTTTGAAGACGGTAGAAACATGACGGGGCTCTTTAAATAATCGAGTCTAGAACAGACAATCCAGTGATCAGCCGCATGAGAATCAATCAACATAATTGGGATATGATGTGGCAGCAACTCTGACCATAATCGTCTCTTACAAGCATGGGTTGCTGAAGACAATGTTTAACCCGGATCTTCAAGGGTAAAAATAATACGGGCATACTGTATATTCGTTATTTTTCTCCATCCTCCGCTGCATGATGGTACATAAAATAATAATACGTGTGATGGAAAACAAAGTATGTCGGTACAAATATATTTATTTCATAGCGACTGTATTAACATGCATATTACAAATTGACATATGACATGCATTATGTGAGTACACAGCATGTTGACAGGAGATGCACAAATGGTAGGTAAACAGTGTCGATATTGCGTGTAATGATTATTAAATATTACATACAATGAATATAATTAAGAACATCGTTTCAAGACTCAGCATTGTCCTCAGTGAACATGTGCAGTTAATGCTGTTAATTGCAATTTCACGAGGTTCTTGAGGAGCATTTAGAAGTTGGTATTCAAGAAAAAGGCAAATATTAAAATATAAATACAGTTGCCATCCATAATGTTTGCCTTTTTGTTGCAATTTCATGATTTTATTCAAATAATTTTAATCAAATAAATATCGTCTAAAACCACATACAACTAATTGTCCATTTCATAGTTCGTTTCAATATTGAGGTAGGATACAAACTATTTTTCCTGAGATCTACGACAGCTACATCCACGACAGCTTTGTATATACATGGTTATGTTTTTGTATCTGGGACAGCCAATAAAGACAAGTCATACAAATCATTTCTGTGTGAGTGAATGAGTTTAGTTTTACGCCGCACTCAACAATATTGCAGCTATATGGCGGCAGTCTGTAAATAATAGGATCTGGACCAGACAATCCAGGGATCAACAGCATGAACATCGATCTAAGCAATTTGGATACGATGACATGTGTCAACCCAGTGAGCGAGCCTGACCACCCTATCCCGTTAGTCACGTCTTACGACAAGCATGGGTTACTGAAGATCAATTCTAACCCTATTCACGGGTACATTTCTGTGTAACAGCAACGTATTCTAAACACTTCGTGACCTCATTGTATAAATTAACACTGTCATTGTGTCTTTGAAGTAGACACATTAAACACTTTGTGGCATCGGTACATATTATGAAGACCACATCTGCATTGTCCCTTTGACATAGGTAAATATACCAAGCGCTGTGGGGCATAATCGGATATAATAAACATGACATAAACACTTTGTGGCAATTTGTTTTAAGTATGACATCACGTACAGTTATTCTAAGATGCTTTGCTAAAAGATGGAAGGCACCGACAGTACTTTGTCGAGCGATACAGTACACGTTTTGTATGGCGTCACACTATTGACGTCACTTCGCCATTCTCGTCTGCCCCCTCGTTATCTAACGTACCCTTGGTAACCGACGTCTCGTGACATGTCAATCGTCATCATCTCAGTGAACTACTCCATAGCGCCCCGTTTCTTGGTTTGCAGTTGTTTCACTCGGCTAACATCACGGATGGAAACAATTACGATTATGCGTTTCGACGAATTAAATGTCTCTGCTCGACTCACAGTTACACGGCGAAACAGCAACAGATTTCGGATTCTATACTTACGTTGGTAGTAGAAATGCGACGTTCATATTGTCCCATATGGTTTACGTCAATCACAAATGCAATTAAAATAAGTTAGAGAATATATTTAACCCGAAAGTAATCTCTCATTAAACTGTATAGTATTTGTTTTCACGGCAATGTACCTCTTAACGTAGGGGGGACAGACACGTGACTGGAAGAACCCATCAGTTAGCCCTGAACGAGGGTTGTTAATTTCGGTCACCGACGCCGTCGTTTTTCTGTTTGTTTCTGCCGTTGCTTAATCGTCGGTTAGTATTAAACTTGGTATCTCAGAAAAGAAATAAACGTCCTCGTGCTTTAAATATAATAGTTCAGGGCGAGAGTGTGCTCTATTAAACTACTCGTATAAATGGTGGTAGCGCGAACCGTATTTTTTACATACCTTTTGTATGGGAACATTGACACATAACTTCGAGAAGCATCAGTTAATATTGATTAATATGCGTGCATGATAAGTAAATATACATTTTCACGCTCATTCTTAAGGTTATATCGAAAATAGGTCACATATAAATCAAGGTGATAATATGTCTACAGAACACGTTCATGATAAGTAAATATACATTTTCGTGCTCATTCTTAAGGTTATATAGAAAATATATCACAGGTAAATCAAGGTGATAATATGACTACAAAACACAACAACACAATTGTCTTGTTACTGTATTGACTTATTTTCTGTTCCTATGTAAGCGATTATTTGTATCTGACTCTTTATTCAAGGAGATTGTTTGGTAGGTTTCATTGTTAAATTTGGACTTAATATCCAGCCAGTTACATGCATTATTGGAGCTTGATACATTTTAACGTGCATCTAATTGTGTAACGGATGGGTATGATTCCACGTTGCACTCTAGGTGTTAGATTTGACACATGTCTATACTGATATGTGTTTAAGGTGGACGCAACTCGTAACTGCACGCTAATGTAAGCCGTAAAACTCCGGAATCTATTACGGTAAATGCTGGTAGAGTAAATGATGAATATTTAACACCATTACATGAACACATCTTGGCCCACTCGCACAAAGCATTCTCAGCTCTGCGATATTGCATCTCCGATAATTAACATAGGCTTACAATAGTCATAGCGCTACGATCATTTTGTGAAAGTGGGCCCTGGAGTAGCGAGATGACCAGACAATTGCATGTGTTATTAGGTACCGCGGCATGCATTGGTAACTGAAGCAAAAGTAGTGGTAGCTATTGGAAGCACACGTATAATCTGTATCTAAGTCCCAAGTTGAAACGCAGGACAATACACATTATGTTTATGTCATCTTCTTTGTCAGCTGCAGAGTGTGGATAAGGAAAGGATGCTATTTTCCGTGTCGCTGATGATAAGTGAAACAGCAACTGTATCTTTCCCTTGATAGAGATACACAACACATGTAACATTTTCTTCGTTGAATACACTTGCAGACATCGTCATATCTATTATCTTTGCTAACTCGGTGCTTGAGAATAATTCCAAGAAAGAAATTTGAACCCAAGACGATTCTACGGGCAGTGTTACGCCATATTACATCAATCCGGTAATATACAGACAGAATTATTTTCATGATTGAGGTGAAGTTTTTCATGATTGAGTGAGTATGGTATCACGCCGCTATTAGCAATATTCCACCATTATTACGTCTATGGTACACAAGAATTATGTTTCATATATTGTACCCAAATAGGATACGAACTACGACGGTGGTTCACAAGCAAACGCTTTGACCACTTGGCTACCCCAGTGTCCATGAATTGGATATTAAAATGGCAGAATATATTGATAAATAAACATATTGTTTAACAAAAAGTATGAAACGGGAGATGAGGGAGACAAAATAAAAATGGCCTATATGCAAGAACAAAATATACAGCCTTATTACGTCACAGGGAACCAAGGTAACCACTGTGACTCCGACTCCGTGAATCAGCAAGCATACTTCTAGGTTCAGATCTATACCATCCCTCCCTCCTATGGAATGCCTCCCCTGTTGTAATAAAAACTCCAGGTCGCCTTTTAAAGCTGTTCACTCTCGAGGTAGGCAGCGAGTTGTACCCGCTGGCTGTTATGGCGACCCTGGTGATGTACCTCCGCTGGGCCTCAATGGTCGCACCAGTGTTGACTCTTTCCGCATTTATCTTCCCTTCCTTGAACACACCCAACTGATGCTGACGGTATTCCTTTGACGTCTCCCTGAAGAGATGTCCGTCCTCCATTATGGCGTGTTCGTGAATCTGGCTGCCATTAGCTACCCGTGTGGTAGGACGCACTCCTGCTGGATTTGAGTGGACTCTTCTCACCTTCCCAGGGTAGAGGCCGGTGGGATGTTCTGTCGTGTAGATCTGATCGAAGCTTGGGACAACTTCAGTCATTGGATGAAGCACGGGTACCTCAGGTTGTGCAATCTTTTCAACTGGCCTTCCATTTCGGCAGCAGATCCTGTACCAAAGAGGACGAATGTGTCAGTTCGGTGTATTTCCGATCGGGCAAGTAATTGGGGTATATTTCTACATGTCAACTAACATCTTTTGGAATGTCAAAAGTAGCACAGTCCTAGACAGTCCCTGTCTCAGTGAGGAAGGGCTATTTTGCTGTAAACATTAGACATTTCAGTGATGATATGCCAGCAAAACTCCCTCACAACTTCACTGGACATACAATGTTTTGCTTTAGAAGAGCAGTACGGCTTTGCTACATATATGTCTTAAGACTGCCCGTTTTTGTGTCATCTTGGTACTTGGTAGAATTTGCTTCATCCTGGTTTAGAGCATCCTAAAGAGTTTGTATCAGCATTATTTGTAGTTGCACCCATAGTTCCCCAAATGAAATAACGTTGAACACCACTTCGTCAATTTCACGGTGTATAAATTATGTCTCTATTCTATACTGATAATTACCATCTATTTTGTACCATAACCTCATTTTCAGAATGGCTCTTTTTGTTCAACACAAAGTAACCAGACAAATGCCTTTGTCGTGGGCGAGCTTGGGTCTACATAAACTGACTGCAGCGGCATAATGTAGTCTTTGTTTGAGTTAGTCGTTTAACGCCGCTCTCAGCAATATCCCCTCTATATGGCGGCGGTCAGTTAATAATCGAATCTGGACCAGACGATTCAGTGATGAAAGTCATGAGCATCGATCTACGCGATTAGGATACGATGACATTTGTCAACCACGTCAGCGAGCCTGACCACCAGATCCCGTCTCTCGCCTCTTACCACAAGCATGGGTTTGAAGACAAATTTTAACCCGGAACGTTACGGGCGCATTATACATGACCGTATGTCCTACCTGTAGACGATGATAGTGACTATGATGATGATGATCAACAGCAGCACGCCAACAGAAACTCCGATGAGGATGCTCTCTGAAGAATATTAGTGATAGTGCAGCAACCTAATTGTAGTGAGTGAGTGAGTGAGTGAGTTTAGTTTTACGCCGCACTCAGCAATAGTCCAGCTATATGGCGGCGGTCTGTAAATAAACAAGTCTGGACCAGCCAATCCAGTGATCAACAGCATGAGCATCCAGCTGCGCAAAATGGGAAACCATGACGTGTGTCAACCAAGTCAGCGAGCCTGACCACCCAATCCCGCTAGTCGCCTCTTACGACAAGCATGGATTACTGAAGATCAATATTCTAACCCGGACACTCACGGGTCACCTAATTATAGAACTAGTTCAAATGGCTATAAATATATTTATATAATTTAGCGACTGTATTTCTTAAGATTGATCAAATCTTTGCAAATCCAAAACTCATTTCCACTTGTAATTTGAGCACCCTTCGTCTTCAGAATAATCATATTCGAGGATGTGATTCCTTTTTCATAATATGAGTTTACCAAGCTCTTAAAGACCGCCTCCGTGGTGTAGTGGTTAGAGCGTCCGCCCAGAGGGCGGAAGTTCGCGGGTTCGATCCCCGACCGCGTCATACCAAAAGACGTTAAAATATGGTACTTGTTGGTCCCTGCCTGGCGCTCGGCATTAATGGGTACAGCAAGGACTGGTCGGCACGGAGTCAGTATAATGTGTCTCAGTCGGGGGTATTCATGCTTCACTGCAGCATGGTATTTCAGTGGGCTAGCACTATAAAACCAGCTTAAGTCTGGGCTAGTACAAGCAGCCGCACATACACATACACATACACATACACATACACATACACACACATACACACACATGCACGTCGTCATATGAGTGAAATATTCTCAAGCACGACATTAAACCCAATTTCACCTCACCTCACCTCAAGCTCTTAATGTGAATATATGTTTACAACTTACCTTCAGTATCCATCTCTGAAGGTGTCTGTTTGGGTGCTAGTGGAGGGCCTGGTGATAGGGAAGAGGTTACTAAGAGGAGAGGCTTCGCTGTCGGTAACGGTGTGGTGGTGAGAGGAGATGCCACTGTTTCTTCCGTAGTCGCTGGAGTTCCAGTCCGGTCGACAGGACCTGTCACTATGGACAAACGAAAAGGAGTCATGCATTAGGGATTACCCCTTCAAGACCCTGTTCACAGAATGATATTGGCATTCCGTTTGCCTCAAACGGCAGATATGTTTGTATCTTGGTCACTATGACGTGGAATTAACAAGTATTTATCGTTTTTCTTCAAGGCACGTCCACGCTGCTAAAAATAATTACCTCCCCATCAATTTTCTATCATTATCATATTGACAGAAGGACGGGGAATTGTATTTACAGGGTAACTCCAATGGCTGGATTGTTAAACAGGTAGTATTCTCCTACAGTGTGTATCAATCTTCTTAAGTAACGTCAAACCTCGCACACTGTTGCATAGTACGAGTGTGTCAATGCCACAGTATCGTACTGTTATGTTAATGTGACCCTTACACATGTCAGCTTAACATTCACAAATGCGTAAATACCACCCTACTGGGCTCATAACACTATCGTTACAGTTCCTACCCGTAGTGGCAACGGAGGCTTCCTGTGTCACAATCCTCGGCGGTGATGTCGCGACAGTCGTCGGTGTAGTCGTTGGACGTGTCACTATCTTCCCAGTTCCGTCATTCCGACACGCCGCTGTCAACACTGAAACACCAACGCCATCACTGAAAGAACAGCGTTGCACATAAACACACAAACAGTCGTGTGAATATACTATTATAATACACACAGTGCAACCCATGGAGAAATCGGGTATAACTGAACATGTGTTGCATGATCCGCGCTGAAATGTCACGAATTTCCATTACAATGTTTTGAATGCAAACATGGTTCAAACGAGCTATTTAAGTACCATTATACAACCCGCTTTTCTTAAAGCTGATACTCCCTCAATGGTCTAGTCCTTCGTGTTCATAAGGCATGAGCCAGCCTGTGATATCTTTACCGCTATTGATGTAACCCCTGATGCAGGGGAGACATCCTTAAGTAAAGCTTGCCTTAGCCTCATGGGTGTGGGTACGCCTGGTAAAGCCTTTCAGAGGTACACAGTGTACAATATCCACAGGAATGTCACCACGGAGCTTTCACCTCGGGCTGTGCTTCAATCGTGGCTTCACGGGCGTTGATTTTATCAGCTGACTCACGGACCTAATTGTATTATTCGTACACCTTTGGAAAGAAGTTGAATCAGGTAGAACGACAAGCGCTGTCATATTGTTCGTATAACAACAAGCGATATGTCATTTTCTACTTTTCAATTATACTTCGAGTTCCACTTGATGTGACATTCGGAAGTATTTCTATGCCTCGGATGCTTGGAACGTATGTGTCCTTATCACTTGACCTACAGCAGGAAGAAGCGGGTTGTAGTAGACCCGATGCATTCAAATGCTCGCTACTCAATAAAATCGAATATTGTGAGGCTCGGAGGATTGCGTGTACTTGAACCCGACCGAGTGGACTGTTGCTCATAACATCAACCTCAAGTTTGTCACTGTGTGATGGAAAAATTGTCGGCGTTACATTTTACCTTCCTTGGTCCAATCTTTTACTAGCCTCGTGATATGTCCGATTATGTAATACAGCATTCACTCATTTATTCAAAATAATAGCAAGCGGCTTCGTTTAACGTCTCGGATCGCATCATTCTGTTACACTGTGAGAACCGATTAAAGTGTTTTGCATTAGTGACACAACGATACGGTATAGGTTATTGATACACACGTTGTTTTATCAATCAGTTTTCTCTGGATCCGGCTTGAAAGAGCATATATGTTTTCATTTGGGCGCAGTTGTGAAGCCTAATGGTTAAAGCGTCCGCTCGTCCCGCTGATAACCTGGGTTCGATTCCCAACATGAGTACAATGTGTGAGGCCTATTTCATGCTGGAATATTGCGTAAAACCATACTCTCACTTTTTTTTCTTTTTCTTTTAGGGGCGGTGGGGTAGCCTAGTGGTTAAAGTGTGATGTACAATGTCGAAGCCCATTTCTGATTCCCCGCCGTGAAGTACAGCTTCTGGAATATTGCTAAAAGCTGCGTAAAACCATACTCACTCACCCTTCTTTTTCTTATATTACGTATAGCACTACTTTCTCTGACGATAACGATAACGTTCTTCTACTGAGATTTAGATGTATACTATTCATTCTGATAAATACAAGTGAGTTCCCAGAGTACTTATTTGAATACAGATTGTATGGGATATCCTCCCAATTTCCTTGCTTGCCTCATTTTTAAATACGCATGCACTCCTCGAAAACAACCCCATATTCCATTATTAACATGGGAAGATGTGTCTAGTTTATGTACATATGACCACTTACGACTGCTTCCACTAACAAGCAGGCAATGGCCCGGATCAGACGCTGCCGCTGTCGGCGATGTCTTCGTGACGTCTACAGACCACGGCGTCCCCGTGTCCATAACAGCCTCAAACCTCCCCTGTCGGTTACACCAGGCGTATTCCGCGCCACGGGGGAGGCCGTCGACGACGAGGATGTATGCGTGGCAGGTAGAAGGTGTGACGTCGCCCCATGGGTAGATGGTGATGCTGTTGTTGTCTTGTATGGTAGACAATGTACAGGCGCACTGACTAAAGCCGTCGGACATGCCGACGCTGTGTATGTAGAAGACGTTGCCGGTGAATGGGTCGGTACCGCATACGTCCACGACTGAAGAGTGAGTGAGTGAATTTGAAAATAAGTAATTCATATGCCACTGGGAGTTAGACTATATAAGCCAAAAACATCAATATTTTGTCTTGACAGACATCAATATTTTGACTTCGGGATGAAAGGAAACGAAATCTCTTTGTCGATGTGACAAACGAACATTATATAACCTACCTGCTACCCCACCATGTCAATTTGGATGCATGAAGGTAAGTTGTGCAAACAAGAATTTTTATGAAGAAGAAGAAAAAGAAGAAGAGGAGGAAGTTTATTTATGATTAAAGTCCATAGTTCCCAGAGTTCTTTTGTGTAACTAATTATAGTGGTGTGTACATGCATTTGGGATTGACAAACATAAGTCTTTATGTATAAGTACAATTTTCAGTATTAAGTATAGTGACATTTTTAAATGACAGATTCAATGCTTAAAGAAACATATAACTTGACAAGAGATGGTTCCACAAAATACTTCTTTCGGATGAACGTATCTCTACTTTTTGTTTGTAAAATGGACAAAGTTTCAAGAAACTATATTCGTTGTAGGTTTCAGGAAGATTACAACTTCTAGTCATTGATAAAGTAGTCCATTAAACAGTATTATATGATGGCAGAATGAGGATGCTCAAGCCAACAGAAGCAAATGAAGTAACGGGATCACTGACATAAACCCACGCCATCATCTGGTTATCATATTAACCTATCTACATTAGTGTCTTAAGGTGCAATCATGTCATTAGTTCCGTGAAAAATAGATCTATGTACCTGACATGTGTGAGGACCCTCTGGTACTTACGTTTATATTGCCAGCGTACAACATCCAGTTTCCTCATTGTAAACGCATATTAGTCTTATTGTTTGATCGGTATTCCAGAAGTTGGTGAGTCAAAAATGAAACATACAACTTTAAGGATGAACTTCTTGTTTATTGCACAGAGCGACGTCTCGGTGTAGATTCTTACATCGTTATCAAGCTGAGATGTATTTTAGCTTGATAACGATGTTAGAATCTACATCGAAACGTCGCTCTACGCAATAAACAAGAAGTTGTCATCCATAAAATTGTATGTTTCATTTTTGCATATTAGTCTTACCTGGAACTTCAGTTTGTGGACACTCGGTGTACACCCGCTGCACTAAAATGCATACAAATCTATATAAATGGTGAACACAGTATATAAAAATCAGGATATGAATCATTATCGAATTTACATATTTAATCGTTGCATTTTCACTGTATCGGAACACAATGTATACAGTATGGATTAATGATACCACTTATTCGTGTATCAGGTATCATTACATTACATACAGATGTACACATACAGCATTCGTATAATATGTAAAATTCAAGCTATTACTCTATCGCTTTCCTGATGATAATTCATAATTATGTATTAAATTCTCTCGGACTCGTAAGAATGGGCTTTCGAGGTATATTGTTATATATTATTCATGCACAGATACCGGCATATGTGAAAATGTTTACACAATGTACGTACCCGTGTATACAAGACATACAACCAATACTCTCACACACCCCATGTCCATGATTGTCGATATCTCTTAATCCATTTTGAAGCTCCCCACTTCTCGTCGCAATATTCCCAGGCTACATCTTCTTGAGCCATCCCCTCGCCCATACCTTTTATATTACATTAGCTGTGAACTTATTTCGCATCGTGTCTCATGTTGTGCACTTAGGCGTTGCGAAATGTTTTAAGACACCATTATGGTCACCATTACAACTACTACCGATTCACCTACTACCTGTCAAATGATGCGTTTGTGAAACGACATCCACCAATTGTTCGGCCTGTACGTACCATACCGGCGATGGATGGTCTCGCTCTGATACACAGGTCAATTATAACAGGTACACCATTTCGTCAATACAATGCTTCTCCTTTCCCACACACATTCACCTTACCAGAGAACTCTCAGTAAAAGCATATGCCCCTTGTATTGTGTGTTCAGTGACATATTAAGCTACTTGTACACTCGAGAGACGTCAGAACTATTCATTGTAAGGACACTGACAGCTACATATATGCATGGCAAAGCCTCACCTCTCTGAGTTCAAACATACCTCCAAGTTTAATATTTGCAGACCTCTGCCTCCTATTCACGCTACTTTATGCATCCATTGCTATGTTTGCACACATTCCCAAAGAAAACAGCAAAGAAAGATATATTTACTCAAACCGTTCGTTAAAAACTACATTGATATATATGATTATGAATTATTAATAACATATTTATCTTACTACAGTTTTTTTAATATGATCCTAAAATATGAAATTTGGAGTAAAGACTGTTTTAAAGAGGTAGGTTGTAATGTATAAAGTAAGGATGCTGTTACAAACATCTGTTTGATCTTCAGTGAACATCTGTGACAAAATAACACCACAATGGCTTCGTATGTCAACGAAAAAACGAACGACAGTGTTTATGTAACGCTACCTCAATTCATACTCCGAGGTTAAGAGGTGCATTTCAACTTGAAATTGAAATAGTTATCGAATTTACACCACTAGTTACAATATGCAGCTTTAGATCAACTTGGTGTAGTTGGCGATGTATTGTTAATATATCTACATACTGTAAAAGCTATGTAATTTAAACACAGAGCGGTGCAAATAGGTGTTCCTGTAATGCTCCCTCTTCTTGGCGAAGAAGCGCTTCAAATACACTCATCTGGGGAGGACTTTCTGATTGGGGAGATACACTAGCGACCGAAATACTGAATTAAAATTAACACATCTTGTCTTGTTTGTGTTGATACATTTGCGGGAACAGTTTTGTGGAAGACTATTGGCGCATACTGTTATTTTGCATGAAGTTATCTTGCAATTGTGTTAAAATGTATCCCACGATTTCTCAGAATGAATTATGCATTTGCCTTCAATATAACCGACCACCAATATCAAATATGCCGGTGACCGCAGTTGTGATGGTGTTTGAGCATTGCAGTAAGACAAAATATTAAATATTTCAAATGTTCAGTATGTTTAGAAAATGAGGTCTAGGATGGTGAATGCCTTGGATGTTCTATACACATCTTCGTTTGAACATGGATGACACCTACTGCCTTCATTCAGCCTTGAAAAAAATGGCTTGTCCAGAATGCTTTTGTGGATGGATGACTTCACAAACAAAACACATTAACAGGTTTCATTATTAAATTTTAATTAATTCAGTAACCCAACATATATATAGTTCGAAACAATATGTCTTCTTATTCAACCGCCTCCGTGGTATAGTGGTTAGAGCGTCCAAGCGGAGAGCAGAAGGTCGTGGGTTCGATCCTCGACCGCGTCATACCAAAAGACGTTAAAATATGGTACTTGTCGGTCCCTGTCTGGCGCACGGCATTTATGGGTACAACAAGGACTGGTCGGCTCGTCAGTCAGTGTCTGAGTGGGGTATTCATGTTTCACTGCGGCATGGTATCTCAGTGTGCTAGCAATATAGAACTAGCTTAAGTCTGGGCTGGTACAAGCAGTCACACATACACACGCATGCACGTCGTCATATATTATGAGCGAAATATTCTCAAATACCTCGTTAAACCCCATTTCACCTCACTTCTTAATATTATGATTCCCACTAATCAATTATGGCAGTGATTCCCGTAACATTGACAGTTGTATGGATGTCAACTTCTTTTCCATTTCTTACTCCTTCATTAGTTTTGTTTTGTTTGCTATTAAATTGAATGTCTACAGCATTATCTCATAGACAAGAAGTCGAAACACACATTGTATACTTTATTTCACATTTTTATGCATCGTTATGTCATATGTCACGAACTTATCATGCATTCATGAGAAAGTCTTAATCTGTAGAAACCGTGAAGATCCGGGTTAGAATTGATCTTCAGTAACCCATGCTTGTCATAAGAGGGATCGGGCTGTCAAGCTCGCCGAACTGGTTGATATCCCAATAGCGTAAATCGATGCTCATGCTGTTGATCACTGGGCTGTCCGGTCCAGACTCGATTATTAACAGACCGCCGCCATATAGCTGGAATATTGCTCAATGCGGCGTAAAACTAAACTCACTCATTCACTCACTCACTTAATCTGAACGGTAGACATGCCGACACTCTAGATTCAGAATACGTTCCTGCTTAGAACTAGTCCCTGAATCTGGACAACCTCTGGTTTATTTCAACATGGTGGTATCCTCCTGACCTGTGGATGTGCTGACTTAACTGCCTAGCCTTAGTAATTTCTTCAGGTACTTACGATACGCCACAAGTCTGTGTTCTCGTGGTACCATATAAGTCATCTGTGATATGATTTCGGTCCATATGACTTTAAGACCTGGCGATCCTTTTGTTTGAAAGACTGCAATTTGCTGTGTTGAGTTGCGTCCCTTAGGTATGACAGCAACCACTAATTAGTATTGTCTCCGTCAAAACAGGTTAAATACCTTTGCCAACACAATTACGCAATGTCTACACGTTAATCTACCCATCGGTGTTCTAATCGTGTACATACACCTCGTTTAATAGCTGCATTTTCATGCGTGCAAATTCTGTATGACAGAGTTGTAATGATTACACACAATCTCTAATTAAACGTCGTTTTCAGTTTACAGCTTGTCATTAATAATGTTCCTCGTCGTCGCCATGGCATCCAATCATGGCTTTCTTTACATGGAATATGTATACATGTATGAGTAGACAGTGAGTGAGTGAGTGAGTGAGTTAACATTTAACGTCACATCGGCAATATTTCAGCCATATCGTGACGAGAACATGTTTGACATTGAAATGGAATATGTGTATATTATATGAGTAGACACAGAATTTTAGACAGTGGTCAAATGTAACAAATGTTACACACAGGATTGCAAAGTCTAACTCTTTTTTAAAATTATAAAACAAATAAAAAAATTCTCAGAGTATTGCACCAAATAGTCTAACAACTCAGCTATCGTGTCTTTCACAAAAAGCAGACAACTGATGATCTCTAATTTAGACCTAATATGTGTACCTGACGCTCTGATAAAATGTCATGGATCCCATTTCCTAAAGCGTGAGTAGACATTATGCGTGATCATGATACGTACTCATGATAACTCTTAGTATAATTCCAAATATATAATTTATTTCATACGTGTACCTTAGTCTTTGTCACAAACAGAAGCTCATAAAAAACGGAGCTATAAGTCATGGACTCATGACATTGCAATGACGTTCGTGAAGCATACTCCCCCAGTCAGTTCAGGAAACCTTGTGCTTACCTAGAGATCCACGTTCTATAATCATCACTTCATTGTCTACAGCCAGTTTGTGATCGACCCCCGCTTCATTTGTTGTTTAACGCCACACTTCACCTATATGGTGGCGGTCTGTAAATAATCAAGTCTGGATCAGACAATCCAGTGATAACAGCATTATCATCGATATACGCAACTGGGATACGATGGCATGTGTCAACCAAGTCAACCAAGTCAGCAAGCCTAACCACCCTATCCCGTTAGTCGCCTCTTACGACAAGCATGGGTTGCTCAAGACCAATCCATACAAGGAACTGCACGGGTCTCATCGCCCCACTGGACTGTGATAATAACTGTTACGCTATATCAGGCATATCATGGCGTGTCATATGTGGGAGGAAAGCCCGGGGTAATGCAGGTTTACCACTGCGATGAAACATCGGGGATGTGCCTGAATAACCTAGACACATAATCATTTTTATTATCATTATCATTGGATATTTATATAGCGCACATATACACGCACTAGTGCATGCTCAAGGCGCTGGTATGTTTTCCCTCGACCATTGGATGTCAATCTCAACGGCACATCTTATTTTCAATCTCAACTCCCTGGGGATCTTAAAACTCTTGTTGCCACAAGGCGCACCGAGTTATTGCGGCTTTCTCATCCTTACGAGGCACCCATTCACAGCTGGGTGAGCTGGGACACATAGTCACAAGTCTTTGTCCAAGTTTACTGCACGTTGCTGTACCCGCAACTAGGTGTTTGAACGTATTCATGTGGCCACCATCTGGTCATATACCAACGGATTCTTGGATTCTTTTAAGTGCACAGGTTTGTGTACTGTACACTAGGGGTTGTGACAACACTGAAAGAGTCTGCACACAAAGTTGACTCCTAGGTTTTTACACCCGCTCACAGGTGGGCTCGATCCCGGCACTTCATGCTCGCTGGATCACTAGCCAGGCGCCTTAGCCAGCTCGCCCACCACGCCCACATAATCTCGGTTACCTTATCTCGAAACCGAGATTATAGTCTTCTGGTGCGCATAGATGCCTGAATTGCAATGACATATGCAACTATTTAACTAAAAATCCCAATGCGACCTGCCTAGGCCTGACGAATTCTACCCTTGTAGGTCTTCTTATGTCAACGATTACTTGTTACAGAAGTACAAAATGGACGATGTCAGTTTCTGTACAAGCTTTATGTTACATTCATATATAGATACATATATAACGCATGTAATTGTTGATGTACAAAAAGCTCATAAAATAACAATATAAAGTTTGTAAGTACTTCACAAAAAAGTATTAAGGGTATGATGGTTTACGCTTGTAATATATAGGGGTAGTATATCATTTATCAATGTCACATCGTAGACACCATATTATATTGTATGCTTGATATTTAATCAACTAACCCGTAGTATACTATATCATGAACGGATCATAATCAGCGATGTGTTATTGAATGTCTGATATACCTGATGCATATACTTGAACATTGCTAGGATTTTTACTGTCCATCGTCGACAGGTTTAACTCTTCACAATGTTTTCATTTTTATATTGTATAAATTGTTTTCGTAACGATATGGCTAAAATATTGCCGATGTGACGTTAAATATTAACTCACTCACTCACTAGGATATTACAAAGAAGGAGATTGCTGATGTACAATTAAATCTGGATTTATAATATGGTCCCTGATACCTCCATGAATGCATAGATTATTGTTTCTGTACACGCACAGAAACAGAATGTACGAAACCTATATCGTGATAACAATTATATGCCATATATATCGGGTACATTATATTATATAGGCTGCTGCAATCATAGTGTTTGTTTGTTTGTTGTTTAACGCGGCACTCAGCGACATTGTAGCTATATGACGACGGTGTGTGCATACAACCATAGTGTTTTTGCGAGTAATTTCATTTGACGATTCCTAGCTAAGGTGGATTGGAGTATCAGCTATCATCCTTGGCTGGTTGGCTGTTGTTTAACGCCGCACTCATCAATATTTCAGTTCTGTTGCGGCCATCTGTAAATAATCGCGTCTGGACCAGACACTCCAGTGATCAACACCATGGGCATCGATCTACGCAATTGGGCTACAATCACATGTGTCCACCAAGACAGCGAGCCTGACCACCCGATCCCGTTAGTCGCCTCTTGCTGAAGACAATTCTAACTCGGATCTTCACGGGTCTATCATCCATAAAACGGAATTGTGTCAACAGAAACGGTGTGGTACACCTTGTCTATCCTCTTTCCTTATATGTACAATATGAAAACTATACAAAACCAATGAAAAAAATATAAAAATAAAAAATAAATATACAAATCTGCTTGGGACAACGGGAATCTAGGAAATCCAGATACAAGGAACCTATGACACCCGAACGTTAGGGCAAAGCAAACTTTCCATATGCAGGTGAGCTATACCCTGTATCCATGTATATGTCCAGATATCACCAACTATTTTTGACATCAATGGTTCTGGCACAGCATCAGCACTTGTCCTATCCTCATCACAGCATGTTCCAGGAGACACTCGCCCTGAATATGGTCCAGTTGACAGTGCCAACAATTCATTCAGTAGACTTTATACGTGGGCAGGTAGTTGACTGGAGGGTACATGATCTCATGGCTGGGTTTGTACATCATGGTTGAAGCGTTACTCTTGAGTAGGAGAGTACTTCTGCTGAACAACGTTCTGTCCCAGCTCCCGTCAGATGTAGATAGAGTTGACGCATCGGATTCTGGATCTCTATTCCTCTCATTTGCTGTTATAGAAAGAAATATTTCAAAATTTAAATCATGCGGAGGATTAACAAATTCTTAACAGCATCGCTTGAACAAATCAGTGTAAAAAATACAAAGGAAGAAGGGCTGACACAAAAGGTGAGGTGAAATTGGGTTTAACGTCGTGCTTGAGAATATTTCGCTCATATGACGACGTGCATGCGTGTGTATGTGTATGTGCGGCTGCTTGTACTAGCCCAGACTTAAGCTGGTTTTATAATGCTAGCGCACTGAGATACCATGCCGCAGTGAAGCGTGAATACCCCACTCAGACACATTATACTGACTCCGAGACGACCAGTCCTTGTTGTAACCGTTAATGCCGAGCGCCAGGCAGGGACCAACAAGTACCATATTTTAACGTCTTTTGGTATGACGCGGTCGGGGATCGAACCCGCGACCTTCCGCTCTCCGGGCGGACGCTCTAACCACTACACCACGGAGGCGGTCCGCTGACACAAAAGGTGCACGACACACATAAACGTGTTCCGCACTAGCTATAGCCTTCAATTCGGCATATATCTGTCTGTTTTAGATAGACCCTAATTCAGACGCCATACTCAGTAATATTGCAGCAATGTACAATCGAGTTTGGACCAAACAATGCAGTGATCAACAGCATGAGCATCGATCTAAGCAACTGGGATACGATGACATGTGTCAACCAAGACAGAGCGCCTGACAAGACAATCCAGTTACCACAAGCATGAACATCGATCTACGCAGTTACGATACGATGACATATGTCAACCAAGCCAACGAGCCTGTTACATTTCACGATAAGACTTAGTAGGGGTGGCAGAAGACCCATTCTATTCATTTCATGGGTACAGCTGATTATCTTGGAGGAAATGTAAAGCAGATCATAGGGTGATGACGTGTAACCTGAAAGTGGATATGAATATTCTGACAGTTAACTTGGTCAATTATTCCAGTGTGATGATTGCGTAATGAGAAACAAACATGTACCCCGCTAACAGCTTCAGAGAGACAGTATCTGAATCATTCTGCGCCATGACAACATTATTTCAAACTTGCACATTGAGCTGCACGAATTGTTATTTACTCACATATTTAGATAACTGTCGCTTTTGATCATCCATGGGAGACATAATTACAGAGGCCCAATGGCGTAAAAATTCTTTTTAAGCCAAACTGACAGTTGTAATGTTAACAAATTAAACATTAGTGTTCTATGATATGGATACGCCTGGGTGCGTATTAAATCACTCACAATGATAGTATCGACAAACACCAACGATGGCTACGAGAAGGACCGCTCCAAGGATACATCCGACGACCAACCCTGAAACAGACATTCGTAAATCAATACTACACACGCATTCACGGTTACCCGAACAAACAGTTTAGAGACGACTAATAGACTTCATTGAACTGGTGGTGTATAGAAAGTGTGTGTTGGATTGTTCTTTGTGTCTACCATAATGGTTGGATATAGTTCAGCTTGTCAAAGTAATGAAGAAACCCCGTTTGCAGAAAAAGATGTAAAGGATAAAATATGCAACACCACTGCATAATTGCAATCCATTTTTTGTTGCATTATTGTATTATTCCTGAAACTTTATTTTCATTTTGAGGATTATGAGGATTTTGTTTGTTTGTTTAACGCCGCACTTATCGGTATTCCAGCTACATGGTGCCCATCTGTAAACAATCGAGTCCAGGGCCCCGTTCCTGAAAGCGATCGTAGCGCTAAGGTGATCGTAGCTCCCATACTTTAACATAGAATTTTGACAGTCGTAGCGCTACGATCGCTTTGAGGAACGGGACCCAGAACAGACAATCCAGTGACTGGCATCATGCGCATCGATCTACGCAACTGGTAAGTGGGTCAAAATATATACTGATTCACAATGACCACACTTTATCACGTTGTCAGGCATCGTACATGGCGTGAATTTGTGCCCATACATATTGAATGAGATGCAAACAATGTTCTGTTTGATAACCTCATGACACAATACAGAGAAAATTGTTTGATTTTCGTAGCATATTACTCAAATTGGAATATTTGCTTCTAAAGTAGTTCAGCATTTGTCCACAACCAAAGCTAAGACAAATGGATGGCGTTGTCATAATCCATGTAGCTTGGTTCATTGCACGTCATCGGATCCAAATTGCTTGGGTCGATCCCTATTATGTTAGTGGGTTGTCGGGTCCAAATTAAATCATATATAGACCACCGTCACATAACTGCAATGTAGCTGAATGCTGCGTTAAAAAGCCAGTAACTCGAAATAATTCCATGCATGTGATACGAAACTTTGTATGAGTTTCAGGTGGGGAAGATATGTGTTCAGGTTGAATACGCGTCAGTACATCACGTTAGCTTAGAGCGTGCTCTTAATGTCAACCACTGGCTGATATTTACAGGCAGTCTTAGCCATCTTCTCGTGTTGGACATGTTTAAAGTATTGTCACTAAATTACATTTAATACCAAGATACCCATGATGGTTGTAAGAGGCAGCTTAGTAGATCGAATGTCCAGGTTCGAGGACTTGCTAATTGCTCAGAATATCAACCACCTCTTTGCCTGAGGTCGAGATATATCTCTTTGTCTAGATATGCACGTGGCTGGAATGAAATATGGGAGCTGGAATATTACTGAGTGGGACGATAAACATCAGAGTGACACATTAGATATAATCACGCATATTGTTGAGCTTAAGACTTACCTACAAGTTCCCTGGTGCCGGTGACGGAGACTTGCGGTGATTCGTCTGTGGTTCCTGTAACATCACTTGTTGGCTTAAGGGTTGAGGTGCTAGATGTATCGTGTCCAGTGCTCCTGGTGTTAGTTGTGTGGATAGTGGGCGACACTGTAGACACCCTGGGTATGTGGGAGGTTAGTGTACTTGAGGATATACTGTTAATAGTGGATACATGTGAGGTAAGTATGGAAGATAGGGTATCGGTTATAGCAGAGGTGGAAGAAAATGTGTGGTCTCCAGAACTGGAACTGGATGGTGTGTTCGATGTGGGTGATGTCGTAATTCCGGCCTCTGTAGTGGACCCTGGCACGCTCATCGAGCTGCTAGGTGTGTCTCTCCCACTGTCACTTGTACCTGTCACCATGCTGGATACGCCACCTGTGAAACCAGTTGCACCTGTAATCAAGCTGGACATGCCACCTGTGTTAGCTGTTCCATCTGTCACCAAACTGTGCACACCACCTGTGCTATCTGTTGTACCTGTCACCAAGCTAGGCACACCACCTGTGTTTGCTGTTGCACCTGTCACCAATCTTGTCACACCACCTGTGTTAGCTGTTCCACCTGTCACCAAGCTGGTCACACTACCTGTGTTACTTGATGTACCTGTCGCCAAGCTGGACATTTCACCTGTGTTGCCTATTGCAGCTGTCACCAAGCTACTAACACTACCTGTGTTAGCTGTTGCACCTGTCACCAAGCTGGTCACACCACCTGTGCTATCTGATGCACCTGTCATCAAGGTGGACACGTCACCTGTGTTGCCTATTGCACCTGTCACCAAGCTGGTCACTCCTCCTGTGCTATCTGTTGAACCCGTCACCAATCTGGACACGTCACCTGTGTGGCCTATTGCAGCTGTCAAGCTAGTAACACTACCTGCGTTAGTTGTTATACCTGTCACCAAGCTGGTCACACCACCTGCGTTAGTTGTTACACCTATCACCAAGCTGGTCACACCACCTGCGTTAGTTGTTACACCTGTCGCCAAGCTTGTTGAACCACCTGCCTTACCTGTTGTACCTGTCATCATGCTAGACGAGCCTCCTGTGTTATCTGTTGTACTCGTGGCAGACTCTGTAACACCACCTGTTTGATCTGTTGCACCTGTAGCAGTGTCAGTAACACCACCTGTGTTGTCTGTTTGATCTGTTGCACCTGTAGCAGTGGCAGTAACACCACCCGTGTTATCCGTTGCACCTGTTGCAGCGTCTGTAACACCCGTGCTATCTGTTGCACCTGTAGCAGCGTCTGTTACACCACCAGTTTGATCTGTTGCACCTGTAGCAGTGGCAGCAACACCACTTGTGTTATCTGTTGTACCTGTAGCAGCGTCTGTTACACCACCTGTTTGATCTGTTGCACCTGTAGCAGTGGCAGTAACACCACTTGTGTTATCTGTTGCACCTGTAGCAGTGGCAGTAACACCCGTGTTATCTGTTGCACCTGTGGCAGCGTCTGTAACACCCGTGTATTATCTGTTGCACCTGTGAATATACCATCTGTATTATCAAATGCTGTTAAAGCTAACAGAGCTGACCCGCGATCTCTGTACCGCTGTGTGCTGATGTTTTGGGTTCTGGAGATGTTAGTGACACAGAGTATAATTAATATACGTACTACATATATGCTTATTTACAATAATAATTATTGTCATATATATGAATATCATGCGGTTAGAATATTACAAACCACAATTGCATAATGGTTGTGCAACCCTTCACCATTAGATCATATATATTATTACTACGCAGATTAATTTATGCATGCCACATAAATTTGCACCTATTAAGTGCATAATAAAAACAGGTGAGCAATGATCTTCCTGGGAAATGCATACTGATTAACAATCTCTTCACAATTCGAAATGGCAGATTTCATCAACTTCAGAAAACCTCTTTCAGAAACTCGATAGTTTAGTATTTCAGTTCGACAAAGTGAAGAAGTAATTACCTTTGCATAAGGTATTAATATGAAATAATTTGTCATTTAAGAAAGAAATCCTTCAACTGAGACCTTTACCTGTAGATGTTGGAGTTGATGTTGGAGCTGATGTTGCCCTTGTACCTGGGGAAATGATAGCATTGTGTCATCAGCTACCATCTTCTGCGAGATTCGAGTTAACTGACACGGACATATACGTTGACTATTGTATGTTTCATATCACAGCATAATGTTGGAGCAAAATACGTCATGACTCAGGCTCTACACTTTGGCTACTGTGGTGAAACAGTTACCGGGGGTAAGAACTATGATCAGAATGTATCTGTGACAGAAATGAAAAGAAAAGAACAGAATAAATATGCATATTATAAGTGACACTCAATAGGTCTCCCGCAGAGCATATGCGGATGTTCTCGGTGGAGAATTCCAATAATGACACAGCTCCCTCCACGTGGACCAGCTTGAGGTAGCTCATCAGATCAGACCAAATGGTGTTAACCATACGCGGGTTATGCTAGTAAGCCTGCTTGCATGTTTCGCCCGACATGATGTACTTACCAGATATTGAGCTTTAAGACCGGAATTATTTTACAGAAACCTATCGTCCTCCACACCTTCACGTACATTTCATCATCTCCTCAGATCAGGGTGAAAGGCAATACTAAGGGCAACCGCCAGCGTACGCCACCTATTAACAACTGACGCAACACACCATCTTGTAAGATCTATGGTGTTGTCCCGCTTGGACTACTGTAACAGTTTGCTTGGGAACATGAACAAAGACCTGCTCTCCAGGTTGCAAAAAGTCCAAAATGCAGCTGCCAGATTGATCTGCAGAACCAACAAGCACAGCCACATCTCCCAAATCCTCATGTATCCCAGCCAGGATAGAATCCTTAGCATGACTTACAGATGTCTTAACAATGCAGCTCCATCCTATCCCTCTAGTCTTGTCTGAGAGTACATTCCAACCAGGACTCTGAGATCAGCCAATCATTCGCTGCTCATCGTCCCAAATGCACGTCTGAAGACATACGGACACCGACGATTTTCCTACTTGTCAGCTATCCTCTGGAACAACCTGCTCTCAAAGAATCCCCCTCAATAGTCCGCTTATAGTTTACCTTAAAAAAACTTTTCTGTTCAAGAAGCACGATGGCATCTAAATGAACTCATGTTGTAAAGGCCAGCGAAGATCCGGGTTAGAACTGATCTTCAGTAACCCATGCCATGCGTGTCGTAAGAGGCGACTAACGGGATCAGGTGGTCAGGCTCGCTGACTTGGTTGACACATGTCATCATATTCCAATTGCATAGATCGATGTTCATGCTGTTGATCCCTGGATTGTCTGGTCCAGACTCGATTATTGACAGACCGCCACCATATAGCTGAAATATTGCTGATTGCGGAATAAAACTAAACTCACTCACTCCTGTTGTAAATATGTAGATATGTCAGCGCCATGAGCAGCCACTTGGTGATTGGATATAGGGCGCTATACAAATGGTCCGGAGCATGTATCGTCCATCATGGTGAACAGACCAGATTTATCAGATATATACCAGATATATCAGATATATATAGGTAACAGGTAGTAGCTTATCTGTTCATTGAACCGTAAATGTTGTTGTTTTAAGGCGTCCAACTCATCACGAATTACTTACCATCCACACACATTCATTTCATCAGTTCCTTATGATGTCGCCGGTAATGTATTTGAACATACGCCACGGCACAATCGATGCATGCAAACTACAGCAACTCCCCAGATACTTCAAGTGAGACTGAATTCAGAGAGGTGCTAAGCAATATAAACTATATTGGCTGAAACCCTTAAGACGGGTTTAATCCGCTTTCACATATAAATCGAATCGTCAAAATCCAGACATGCACAGACGGGTTAGTTATAAAGAACAACCCATGGAACCAATGTTGTGGTGTTAAGAACAACCTGATAATAATTCAGCCATCATTCCAAAGTCCAGAGCACCTCGTGAAATCACACTAAACAATGTCTAAACAAAGACTGTCATAACCACACCAAAGCTTTCTACTGACCCCGGACAGGATCGCATCCAACGCATCTACAATTTGGTATTTTCACAATTCGGTATAATGAAATCTTTCTACATTATCAGCACAAAATCTGACACCATCACAACCAGAGTTGTCTTTACACAAACGATGGTTCGACAGCCCACTAGACTACAAGCATAAGCTCCAACAGAAACCCTCTACACCAACTTCATCCCTCATATACCTGTTGATACTTGTTGACGTGGCGAGACGGGGAGTAGTCTCCCGTCTATTTTCCTTGTGGTAGTACCAGCTGTATTGGAAACATGTTTCAAACAGGGGATATGTAACAACAATAAGACGTGTCACACAAACAAAGGGTCCAGTGTGATGCCCTAAATCGCCGGTATTTAGTTCCATCTCTGAGATATTGCTATACTCTGGGAGTACATCGAGGATATTTTGTCACTCTCCGAGAGAGCAATGGCTATAATGATATCCAATGCAATGCAGTTACATTTGCAGCAAACAGAGCAAGTCAATTCAAATATAGTACTTCGACCTTCAATTACAATACGACGCAATACAATTAAGCGGATTTGTATATAAGGGCCCAATGCTTAAATGTTTCTTTGTGGTATTTTCATACTCATTTTCGTTTGTACTCCTATCTACTAGGTTTAGTTATCAACAACCTACTGTGAACTACAATATATTTATGTTTACATTAACGGGATAGATTTGAAGTATGTAGAAATGAAACTTTCTGAAAACATTACCGTTACCTTTTGCAACGTTTCAGGCAGTTTTCACCTCATCGTCGTGTCAAAACTTGTCACGCCGTCATGTTATCACTGCTCCAAAATGCCTACCAAAGACGTGTACAATGTATGTGTATACGTAACATACATGTAGAGTGATATTTACCTGTAAAGGGAGGGAAGGGCAGGATGGCAATGGTGGCATTGTCCCGCCGGAACGTATTCCTCGGGGTGACGGAGACAGGTGATGCTGTATCCCTACTTGATGAGGCGGAGGATGCTGGTTGTGTTGTTGCATCTGTACTGAATGAAGATGACGATGAGGATGTCGTTGGTGCAGTTGTTATGGGACTACTTAATGATACGGGATCCGATGTTGACGTTGTAACGTCAGACGTTGTTGTATCTTGTGTGGACGTTGATGGAGACACACTTTGTTCTGTGGATGCTGGCGTAATGGGCGATGTCGAATCTACCGTTGATGTTGATGTTGTTGCTGTTGTTGTCACCGTCGTTGTCTCTGCGGTAGTGACCGGAGGTGTAATGGTGGTCCGACGTTTTAATGGAAACGTATCAATCGTTCTCATGGCCCGTCCAGTGGTTGTTGGTGTTGTTTGCAGTTGTTCGCCGCATATGACATCAACCACTAAAATGCATGGATTCATTCTCAAGATTACACACTGGTAAAATGAAAGCGCAAACAGGCCTTCAGCTGTATCACGATACATCAGGATGCAAGTATCATCCTGGTCTTCTAGGACATGGAAATGGTGTTAACAAAGCCAAATATTTTTATTAGGGCGAATTTAGGATTCAACACCATGATCATTCGCGTGAGGAGCGTTAGATGCCACAGAGGTGAGGTGAAATTGGGTTTTACGTCGCGCTAGAGAATATTTCGCTCATATGACGACGTGCATGCGTGTGTATGTGTATGTGCGCCTGCTTGTACTAGCCCAGACTTAAGCTGGTTTTATAGTGCTAGCCCACTGAGATACCATGCCGCAGTGAAGCATGAATACCCCACTCAGACACATTATACTGACTCTGAGCCGACCAGTCCTTGTTGTAGCCAGTAATGCCGAGCGCCAGGCAGGGACCAACAAGTACCATATTTTAACGTCTTTTGGTATGACGCGGTCGGGGATCGAACCCGCGACCTTCCGCTCTCCGGGCGGACGCTCTAACCACTACACCACGGAGTGATGCCACAGATATGGTATGAAAGGACAAAATGTTATTATCAGGGAAAATCTTGGATTCGAACTCACTATCATGGCATGGCCACGTCCAACGTTGGAAGTAAGAGATCACATATTTATTAACTTTGGTACACGTACATTGCGTGGAGCTGAGTGATTATTTACATATCAAACGCACAACGACAGACCATACAGTTTAGTTTATCTGCTTAAACTTATTCACTTGCTGATCAAAAGCTAAAAACACGTGATGAAAAGTTTATAAATGTGTGACTGAAAATAGGACATAACACCAGGTGTTGGCGCAAAGGTTTAACATACCCTGTAACCACCAAGAACCGGCAACGTAACTGTGCTTAGCTAAAAGCACGTCATTCACGAACAGTTTGTGTGTTTATATATAACACCGTTAAATAAAGCTTGAGTTTATGCAGTCCTGACCAGATTCAAAGATTAACATCGTGAGCCCCGATGTACACATTTGGGTGAGTGAGTGAGTTTTACGCCGCACTCAGCAATATTCCAGCTACCAGGTATATGGCGGTGGTCTGTACATAATTGAATCTTGGCCAGACAATCCAGGGATTAACAGCATGAGCATCGACCTACTCAGTTCGGATACGGTGACATGTGTCTACCAAGTTAGCGAGCCTGACCACCCGATCCCGTTAGTCGCCTCTTACGACAAGCATGGGTTACTGAAGATCAATTCTAACCCGGATCTTCACGGATGTACACAATTGGGATACGGCATACATGGATACATACGCACGCACGCACGCACGCACGCACGCACGCACGCGCACACATCAAATTTATGATCTTGTTACATCAGCACACATGAAAAAAATACGTACGTGATCATGAGTTCATAATAAATTACAAAGCTATATTGGTGACACAAAGACTTACTGGTCTGTGCTGTAAGAAGTATACAGTATCCAGGATCAGGGCTGTTCGACGTATCTGTCCTTTTGATGGTAAAACTGAGAGATCCTTTGTTGTCCACACGCTCATTTACCGTAGGAAATCCATTGGGGTTATCACAGTTCCAGGTGTAATTCACATTACTCAGTCCAGGATTAAAAAACACATCTGTGAACTTACAGGTTGTGGGGTTCAGAGTGCTACTCGGTGTCACAGTAACATCAACGGGTGAAGAGGACACTACTCTGCAAGAACACTCGAGGTAGGCGTTCGCCATGCCTCTTGAATCCAGGTACACTCCAAACACAGTTTGTGATTCTGCTGAACACATTTGTAGCACTGACGAAATGTTGGGATGAAAAAAAGACACAAATTAGGCTGTAAATATTTATAAAGGTGGACGTTTACCTTCTAGGTTTATCAAAATCATGTTGAAATATCAGCTGAACATCAATATAATAGTTTCAATGAAAGGAAAATATGTGTGTACGTGTACTCTATTGTTTGAAGTGTGCTGATGAAATGACTTAAAGTTTACTTTCTATTATGAATATCAATCACCTCTCAAAACAAAACGAAAGACTTCTATTCGGAGACTTTAACGAGGATTAAAAAGGACACATGTGTTTTTGGAACTTACAAAGTAAAAACGAGAACATGTGTAAATTTGATTAGAGTATTCATAAATAGATAAACGAAATACAAGAAAAATCATTAAGTAACCTTCTATTTAATGATTAATAATATTTATATTCTGAATTTGACGTAGACTTTGCGTGGCATCTTACCCGGTGTGCCGTCATCTGGGCAAGCAGCGTGGACAAAGCGACCTGGGAAGAGCAGGGATGATCAAGATATCAAGGAACAGGGATCAAGGTATGCTCTGACTAAAACTTCCACTTATATTACAGAAATAACAGGTATTCTAACATGGGTAATTAAAGACATTCTTTGAAGATTTTGCCCAGTCAGCTATATTTTAAAATATACAGATAATGCTAATGCTAGAAACACGATAGGATTCGAACACCTTTCAGGAAATACATGTATATTGGGGTTATCGCAGTGCTAATTATAGTTAAAATCAATGATATTTCGCTGTCTTACATTGAAGAAACACAAAACTAAACATCAATGTATAATTAATGGGCAATAGATTTGACTTGTTCAGTCCTATGTCTCACAGTTACCAATATGCAGTGGATGTTTTAGTGAGCAGAGAAGTCAGGATAATAACAAGAGACGTCAGTACACAGAACAGAAAGTACATCTCAGGAATGACATTTTCAGGTAAGACAAGAAAACTGTTGATGACTGATACATGTAAACAGTACAGTGAAATGCTAAAATGTGTCGGTAAAATGTCAACAGTATATACAGCAAAACATACGCCTACAATATCAAAGTTAAAGCTACTCAGAGTGGCGTATTTAGACCTAATATAGATTTTAAATTGGTATTTATATAGCGCTATAGTTAATCCCATCTACATGCATGCTCAAAGCGCTTTAAAGATGCAGATGTGTGTCATATACATGTACGTCGCATCTCTCTGACTACATTTCACTTACAGCATGTTGTTCAGTACACCATTTGTGTCCCTAACTCACCCCTGTACATACATTAAATCTCCCACACTGAGTAGTTCAACATGTGCTTTGCCTCTCAAGCTTGCCGTCATAAAATGTATACACACAGTATAATGTGTCTGAGTGGGGTATTCATGCTTCACTGCGGCATGGTATCTCAGTGGGCTAGCACTATAAAACCAGCTAAAGTCTGGGCTAGTACAAGCAGCCGCACATACACATACACCCGCATGCACGTCGTCATATGAGCGAAATATTCTCAAGCACGACGTTAAACCCAATTTCACCTCACCTAGTTATGAGTACACGGTGCCTTCTTCACTGTAGTTCCCACACACTAAGATTGTAGTCATTTTCCAAATTTATCTCTGACACACAAAACATACACATTGAGGAATAAGGTGGAATTCAACATTCTAGAATTTACACATTGAGAACTACGCTGAAAATAAACATTCTTCCCTTTACACATTAACAGTTATGATGTAAATCCACGGTCTATACAATGTGAAGAATCAGGTGGACATTTTATGCTTTAAACTCTCAAGAATAAGGTGGAACGCCACACTATATGCTTTACACATTAAGAACAATGGTTGAAATCCACACCCTAGCTATTCTTTACACTATAAGAGCTGTGATGGAACGCCACACTCTATGCTTTACACATTAAGAACTATGGTTGAAATCCACACTTTATACTTTACACATTGAGAGCTATGGTTGAAATCCACACTTTATACTTTACACATTGAGAGCTATGGTAGCAATCCACACTCTATACTTTACAAATTAAGAACTAGTGTGGAAATCCACATTATATACAATAAACATTGACGAATCATGCGCCAATGCACATCCTATTGTTTACACATTGTGGATTAAGGTAAAACATTTCAATTCCACACTGTACACACTGATCATCAAGGTTTGACACACATAGGGTACACAGTTCAGAAGAGAGAGAGCAAAAGCACCAGGTAGGTAAACGAAAATCATGGACACCCAATACTCACCAGCCAGGAAAAAGGTATTCCCCAGTAGCACAACCAAGGCCAATCCATCACATGTATTCATCTTGAATGACCTCTTACAATACCACAACTAGAGAAGTCAATACATTGCGATCAACTTCAGGAAACTGTTTCCGAAGAGCATCAGGAATTACCGTGACATCCATGTCAGATGGCTTCACCCAGGATGTGAAATCCGCAGTTGGCCTCGAGTAGATGAGACATATGTAGTCAACAGGTTCCACAGATGTATGACGCAATAAAAAATAACGCAACTTCCATTCAACATGTGTGAAAGTAACATTGCAAAGCCATTCAGACTACAGAAGTCTACGACATGATTTCACCTTTCATCCATCTCGGTTCATGCTCTCATGTTTTCATAGACCAATAGTGTTAAACCGTATAAAAGCTGTTCTAGCTTAGGCAAATACACTCGCGAAGATGAGTATTGCTACACAGTTTCAACGTCAATATAACGCTATATGTACGCCACCCAATGGGGGGGCACATATATTTAAGCAAACTGACAGTGAATTGACTACCGCGGTATGTTGTCAGAACGGGTGGAGCACTGGCGGACAAAGGCTTGGAAGCAGTAGAGATAAGACGACCGGCATCCAGCTTGGAGGGCAGCAAGATTGTGATATATGTTTCTGAATGTTTGATGTTAACAGGAACACGCCCTGTGTACAATACCCTTGTAGCGGATATTGGGTTAGTAATAACGGTGATGATTAAAGGGGAATCATGCTTCAGACAGTTGATATATTTGTGACTACCCTTTCACCAGTAAATGTAACGACATTAAGAGCTATATATTTACATCGCTTTGTATGGATGGTTTTAAGTGGTAAAGAGATATGAGTAAGCAATGTAAATACATGTTTTGTTTGATCATCATGAACAGTTACTCGGTCAGAATCACGTGATCATCATGAATACAAACTCCGTATACGTAAGCAAGTAGATATCAAGATTGGACAACCGTTCCCGGTAAATTGTTTATGTTCGTATGACATCCGAAATTATACATTTCGAAATTCAAAACACGTTGTATACCGCATACAGGTCCGGTTATAAGAAGCGCAGGGGTGTATCGCTCAGTCCCGCTAGGAACCGCTGATTGTGGGTTCGAATCTAAACACTCCTTGTTCTTGGGGTCTTTTTTCGAAAATAGTAAACGACATTAATCCGACTTGCCGTGCTGTAACTGGAATATTCTAAAGTTTACTAACATTATTAATAAGAATATGCTTGACTCATTAATTGGTATGTCAATCTGCCTGCTCGTATAAGCTGTAGGGCAAAATAACAGACAGTAAAGGATAATAATGTGGAGTTTTATGAGTGAGTGAGTGAGTGAAATTTGCTTAACTTCACTTTGAACATCATTCCTCGGCTTGTCATCTTTATGTAGAGAGCCCTGAGTGATGTAGTTCCTAGACGCGTACTACTTTCGAAAGAAAACCACGACAACAGGCATGGTTCTGACATACCCAAAACATAAAGGAAGAACACGGATTCGATCCCACGGGCATCATAGACGACTGGACCAATCCGCACCCCTAAACGTTGAATGGGGTGTAAGTGATTATAGTTTTATGCCTCGTTTTTCAATATTCCAGCAATATCACGACCGGTGACACCAGAAATGGGCTTCACATATTGCACCCATGTGAGGAATCGAACCCGGGTTTACGGCGAGACGGACGGGCGCTTTAGCCATAAGGCTACCCGACCGCCCCACCTCGTGTCAGCAAGCATAGTTCTCAACAAAAGGGTGTTAATTATTGTTTATGTGTACAAAATGTTCTTAAGGTGAAAATGTGTTTGTTTCAAGGTATATTCTTCTTTGCGTATTCCTGTACTTCACTCAGTCACCTTGAATCCCTATCTTCACACTCAGCAAAACATTGTTCCAGTGAACATAACAGTTGACTTTACTTGTGACATTAAAGCTTGTAAACAATCGGTGGAGCTGTCACATAATGGTTGACGTACACGCTGCCATCGTCATCTTCTGGTCTCACTTCATTTCTACGATGCCCTGAAATAATGATTTAATAATGATCACTTAGTATGAGTTATTACTTTTAACTACAACTAAATTATGAAATGATAGAGAACAGTTCTCATATGATTAAGAATAAAGGATCGAATAGCATGAATTGATGTCCGTATGGTTACTCTACGTGGAGTACCTTTCTTTTGCGAACACATAGTATCATCGCTGTTTGATACTGATTGATAAACACATGTTTGATGTTGTTTAACGCTGTATTCTGCAATATTCCAGCTATATGGAGGCGGTCTGTAGATAATTGAGTCTGGGCCAGACAATCCAGTGATCAACAACGTGAGCATTGATCTACGAAATTGGGATACCAAATCAGTGAATCTGGCCACCACATCCCGTTAGTCGCCTCTTAGGACAATCATGGGTTGCTAAGGAAAAATTCAAACATGACCAATTCCATCTGCCGTTACATAACCAGCAAGCAAATAACAACAGTTTCTTCTCGCGTGGCCGACAAAAAGCGGGGCTGTTGCTGAGTGCGAGGTTTAACAACAAACAAACGACAAGCATGACTTTGTCGGTCGAACAATCAACTAACCTTTGCGTTTGATTATGACCGGTGCCACCGATGGATGTAAGATAAACTCACCTTTTCGCGAACACCTGGATTCATCACTATTTGATAGCGATCATAAACGCATGTTCATAATATATTGGAGTCCACGTACAATTGACACTGCTTTTAGCAGAGATCTTTTAATATACTGTGAACAAAAAGTTAAGCGCCACCCAGTGTATTTTGCCAATGTAGGTTGTCTCATAGGAAATCTTTCAGAAAAATAAACAACTATCATAATTTGGTTTAGTACTTTTAGTTTAAAAACAAAACCATTATGGAAATTATCTTTTACTTTAAACAGGATGTATGCGCTTTTGCAAAACATGCATTTTGTTTTTCTCGTTAAGCTTACCTTCTTTTGAAAAGTGAAAATCAGAAATGACTGTTATATGGTCACATGATTGTCAATTTTGACAAGTGAAACCTACGTTTATTAGTGTTGTTTGAGCAGAATAGGAATAGTTATTTTGCTTTAAGAAGCAGTGCCATCATATCTTTAACAATATTTCCTTTAATTGTAAAGACAAATGTTTATGATATCTCTAAATCAGTTACCAGATGAACCTTCTCTAAATATGGATTGGTCTTCCCAGTTATTTTAGCCTAACATTTCCACAGCTTCACATCTTAGTTTTGAAATAGGCTGGCGCTTAACTTTTATTCTCGGTATAAATGTGGAAATTTATTTGTTCCGTATATTTACTGAGGGATGAGAGGTTCCTGCTAATTCCATCGAGGTATGTATAACAAGAAATGGTACCATCAATACCACCGGTACTCACCAACAAATATACACACAGCTATGCAGGCCAGCAGAAGAATGATTACTGCCACGACAGAGCCGGCAATAAGGCCACCTGCAGATACATTTCACACCAGTCATACATTTGCGATCAAGGTACCCCTCAAGGTAACCACGGCTACACTATTGGATACTTAAACCTTCCTGATCAGTTCAGCAACGTTAAAAAGAAATCCTTCGGATGATCTGGTATAGAAAACTATCATGCTTCCTGGTATTTTATATAATTGTAAGTATGAAAAAAACCAAGATCCTATATTAATCCAAAGGTAGTTAGCATGAATTAGTTTCAAGCTCCAATTTCCGAGGTGTCCTGTTTCAGAAGACAATGATCACTTCAAAACATTGGCAATATATGATAAACCGGGTGGTTCATTCAACCATTATATTTCTACTATATTTCTTAGCTAATTCAATGTGGTAAATTCATAGTCAAAATCGATTATTGTGAGAAATGACGTTAAACGGACAAATAGACTATTACCTGTGTTATCATTGCCTATGGTAAACATCATGATGTTTGCCTCGCCTAATGTATCCAGTTTGTCCTCGTTGTAGTACTGTTGATTCGTTTTGGACGCATTTTCCACAACTCTTGCCGTCGATGATGTCGTCAACCAAACGCTCGTCGAATTACGTGTGCTGTTTCTGTCTGGTCCCAAAGAAGTGTGAAGAGGTTGATCGAAATCCGTAGGGTTTGCACTCTGTGATAACATTGCAGTTATTGTTACAGTCGATATCGATGTGTTTGGGTACAGGTATGTCAGCGGAGTTGTTTTATATGTTGTAGTCGTTTTTGGAGTTGACGTCGTGACGTATATCGTCGATACCACATGGTCGTCACTGGATATTTGCGGTCCGAATGTCGGTGTTGGATACTGAGGTGTTGATGACGATGCTGGCGTAGATGTTGTTGGCGTAGACGATAACGTCAAGTCAGGTGGTCTTGACGGGCCATAGAACGCATTGAACAGAATTCCTTGTGCAGAAATTTCTGAAATGCATTCATTCACACCTGGCACTAACAATACCAACATATACACATAAGATACGATCATGCGGGCATTATTTGTGCTGATGGAGAGAGGTGTCAGACATTTCTAGCTAAAGTTATACGTTGAAGTGACATTTGTCTGTTATTCCATATTAACAGTCATTGTTTAAAAAGGCGAAATTAAGAAATAGCTAGGCAACGGGATAGCGTCATTACAGCAACACGACGATATGGTACAGGTATTCTTCTTAACATATTCTTGAAAATTGTCTTAATTTTCATATCAGTATAAATTAAAGACTATGAAAGTATGTTCGATTCCAACAAAGTGTGTACATCAAACAGTTGCAAACATGAAAAATTACGTTTCCTTTTAGATCGTACAATTTTGGATAAAGCATTGAAATTAAAGTTCTGGTATGACCCTGTTTATGTTATTGTAGTGCATCTGTCTCAGGGACATTAACCCTTTTGCAATTAACTGTATGTCTGAGACATGTAAAATGTTTAATTTGCATATTTAGTTGACATGAACAAGCAGTTTGAACGTCGCCTTTGCCTTTTCGTGACATTTTCATTAAATGTATTATCGATCAGAATTGACCTGTGGATTCAAACATTTCTTTTCTTTCAACGCAACATTTCGTAATTATAGATCCCGATACATTTCAAACGCCCCTTGGAAAGAATAAAGAAATTGCAATATATAAGCTCACTCTTCGTATATAATATTTCACATGTTTCTGGAAAGGTTAGTGTTTTTACATGAAGTTGAAGACGCGCGTATAAATCTTGCATTAACACGGAATTCTTGACATTTTTGAAGGCACACAACTCATACGAACAATAAAGTAAAACTGATGATACTTACGAGACACACAGCACCAACAGATGAGAAGAACCCAATTTATCAGACCTTCCATTAGGAAATGTGGCCTAACTGCTCACATTCCACAAAATGTCAACGATGTGTTTTTCTAAAAACACTGGTTTGACAAAGCAGTTGAAAATATTTAATTCATATCACGAACCAACCTGTTTCTATTTTGTTGGTGAGTGGTGAGTGGTGAACACCCTTCAAGTTGGGTCAGTTGTTTATGCCCGTACACATGCAGGACGTCACGGATTTCATGTTGAAGATTATTTTCTGATGATCTCTTTACATAAATACATGGTATGAAATGTATTAAGGTATTACACCTGCATGTATTTCAGATGTACATTGCACCTGCTGAAGGTGTGTGACAAACAGGATTGTAATTGTACATGTTTGTGTTTATTTAGGAGGAGCATTATTCAACATTTCGTCGACACGTGTTCACTTTGTATTAGGAAAATTATATGCCGTGTGTCCCTTTTTCTAACGCGGGTGTCAAATTCTGAATTTGTTTCATTAATCCAAATCTTGCATCTATCTGTTGGTTTTCATTTTAATCATTAATAGGAAGACAGGTAATAATTATCATTCCTACATCTTGTATATCACATGTCTCCCTTCCTGGTTCTGTAAGGGCGGTGGGTTAGCCTAGTGGTTAAACGTTCGCTCGTCACACCGAAGGCCCGGGTTCGATTCCCCACATGGGTACAATGTGTGAAGCCCATTTCTGGTTTCCCCGCCGTGATATTGCTGGAATATTGCTAAAAGCGGCGTAAAACCATATCAGTCAGTCAGTTGTCTCGTAAAGTCGGGGGCGGTGGGGTAACCAAGTGGTTGAAGTGTTCGCTCGTCACGCCGAAGACCCCGGTTCGATTCCCCACATTAGCACAATGTGTGAAGCATTTGGTGTCCCTAGTCGTGATACTGCTGGATATTGCTAAAAGCAATGTAAAACCACTCACTCAGTCAGGTTCGAGTCCCAGGTTCGATTCCCTATATGGTCACAGTGCGGGCAGCCGATTCCAATAGTGAACTTTTGACTTTGCTGATTGACGAGTGACATAGAACTGTAGGTGATCCTTTTACTAAATCCTAGATCTATTTCGATTTGGACATTGAAATTTCAGATGATCAGATCATGGGTCAAGATAATAATATGACGCAGGACAAGAGCAAGTGAAATGCGCGAAGAGAAAAGAGAAAAAGTTGTTAAGAATCATGGATTGTTATACTCGTTTCGAGTAATATATACAATAGAAAATAGGTCGTTATGTTCTTCCATCTTTGTAAGCGTGTTCATTATGGAAGTAGTTTACTGTACAAAGAAATTCCCCATGTGTACAATATGATTGTGCGAATAACATTCCTTGGGACTTCTGTTGCCATGACAATATGGCAAGAATATTGCATATTCCAATTCGAAATTAAATTTGGGGTAGAGGAATCAACTATTTTACAGTTAATCCGCACGAGAACTCTAATCTCACGGTTCTATTGCTACATATGCACAGGTGTGAATCCTGCACCTGTCGACAAACAGTCCAACTGCTTCAATTGCCAGGGAAGGGTTGCCACATGTGTCTAACACATGACCAGATGCTAGGCAAGGCGCTTGTTATCTGTCATGCTACGAAGATATATGTTTGTTTTTTGTACGTGTTATGCATATAAGTGAGTATTGTTTGCGTCTTAGGGAGTATTTTTTGCATATTAGTGAGTGATACTATTGTTTACATATCAGACAATATTCAATTTCCAGGCACATTAAGGGTATTCTTTGCACTTAAGAGAGTTTATGTTTGCATATTAGAGAGTATTATTTGCACTTTAGAGAGTTTGTGTTTGCTTATGAGAGAGTATTGTTTGCAGTTGACAAAGTTTGTGTTTGCATGTTTATTGATTGCATATTAGACAGTATTTGCCAAAGGATTTTTTATAAGGTGCTGAGACGCAAATGTTCACGGTGCTCTGATACGAAACAACTCATAGGTTAGATAGCTTGTGGTTCGATGTCGTAGGACCAGTGCAAGTATTCATTACAAATTTATTCAACCGTTAACGCATATCAAAAGGCTTTTATCCAATGGGCGTTCTTCCTTTGGGTCACAAGTACATTGTACAGAGTAGTTTGTCAATTATATCAGAATAATATACTCCATCCTATACACCTCGTACTAAAATGTCAGATCTCTAAGCGGACCCTTTCTGAAATGATGCAGTAGATCCCAATATCACAATGGGCTCCGAGAAAGTCTCTTACAGGCGCGTGGAAGTGAGCTAGTAGTTTAATCTTTCGTCGTCCCGCCGAGGCCCCGGGTGTCCAATAGGTACAATGTGTACTTATTTGTGATCACTACCGTAATATTACTATGTTTGTTAGCAGCATAAAACCATATTTCCTTCTGCTCTATATCATTTGTATCATTATGGTCTATAATATCGCAATGAGTACCCGCGTGGCCCAAATAAACCTGATGATTTCAACAGTTTAAAACTATTATCAAAGACCCTTAACTTTCGCGATTTATAATGTATATTCGCTGTATTTGAACGCAATTCCATGCATGCCCCGCCTGATGTGGCTCGTACTTCAATAAAAGCGACCTAAACTTCACCTCCTCAGTCACTCACTCAATTACCACAGGAATAGAATTCTTTGATCCTGTAGTCTCTATAACGTTTTGTACAATATATCACCATGCAAATTTAAATTTTGAATTGAATCTCTAAATTGAGAAGAATACAACTGCTGCCATCATTAAAGAGGTAGTTGGGTAGCCAAGCGGTTAAAGCGTTCGCTTGTCACGCCGAAAAACTGGGTTCGATTCCCAACATAAGAATTTGTGAAGCCCATTTCATGTGTCCACTGCGGTAGTATTTCTGGAGTATTGCTAAACCGACGTAAAAGTTACTCGTTTACTCGCTCACAAGCTTCTCCTCTCATCCTGCATGGCATGGGCATATGCTCTACTCACAACACCCTTTGTACTAACTGATGGGGAAGACCGCCGTGTCCACTTACAGAGTCTTGACAGGGTATGCATCACAGCAAACTCCCGACCTTGTCTACGTCAGATGAGAGATGTTGTGATCCTTGCTCTAAGCTTTAGGTCAGATTTGTTTCCAGTTTGGGCTTTATTGACTGACACACTCAGAAAATGAATTTTTATATTTAGCTGAGAGTTATTTTGCTTTATATATAGCTGATGCTAGTTATTCTGTTTTATATATAACCGAGAGTTATTGTTGTTTTATATATAGCTGAGAGTTAATCTGCTTTATATATGTAGCTGGGAGTTATTATGTTTTATATACAGTTGAGAGTTAATTTATATACATATAGCTGAGGGGTATTTTGTTTTAGATAAAGCTGAGAGGTATTTTGTTTTAGATAAAGCTGAGAGGTATTTTGTTTTAGATGAAGCTGAGAGGTATTTTGTTTTATATAAAGCTGAGAGGTATTTTGCTTTATATAAAGGTGAGAGGTATTTTGTTTTATATAAAGCTGAGCGGTATATTGTTTTATATAAAGCTGAGAGGTATTTTGTTTTATATAAAGGTGAGAGGTATTTTGTTTTATATATAGCTGAGAGGTATTTTGTTTTATATAAAGCTGAGAGGTATTTTGTTTTAGATAAAGTTGAGAGGTATTTTGTTTTATATATAGCTGAGAGGTATTATGCTTTATATAAAGCTGAGCGGTATATTGTTTTATATAAAGCTGAGAGGGTATTTTGTTTTATATAAAGCTGAGCGGTATTTTGTTTTATAAAGCTGAGAGGTATTTTGTTTGATATAAGCTGAGCGGTATATTGTTTTATATATAGCTGAGAGGTATTTTGTTTTAGATAAAGCTGAGAGGTATTTTGTTTTATATAAAGCTGAGAGGTATTTTGTTTTATATCAAGCTGAGCGGTATATTGTTTTATATAAAGCTGAGCGGTATATTGTTTTATATAAAGCTGAGAGGTATTTATAAACTTGTTATTTATAAACTGCTAACTTCTAACCCTAGTTTCTCGTGTGTGTAAGCGTGGTAATGTACTTCCATATTACTGTCAGTGTATGTTGTTCCATGATAAACACTGGCAATAAATCCACGGCGGCGAGTCTCACCTGTGGGTTGGAAGGCAATGTGTCTCTTTATGTGACGTACAACACTACATAGTTCACATTCCACGTTAAATCACTTTCATCCTAAAGCAGTAGAACAACTAGAAGCTCACAAACAACTGCACTGACACTCTGCCCTGGTAGCATAAAGTGTTGTACAACAACAGCGGTCTGCCTGGTCGTCTGTTTGATGAATAAATAAAACTAAATTAAAAATATAACGGGATGAGTCTATTTAAAGAAGATAAACCCAACTTGAAATTCTAACAAACAATTTCATTCACGGTCCAGTGAATAAGAACCAGTTACATCCCAGAGAAGTCCCATATGTATTGATATTGGGATCGTGGGAACGGGTCAAAATGGCCATAGAAAAAAGTCAAAGTGGCCATAGAAAAAGTCAAAATGGTCGTACATTGTTTTTCATATTAAGAGTATTGTTCTTGAAATGCTTTCTTAACTGATACTTTGAGATTGTTACTTATTTAATAGTTTGAGATGGGTTTCTTGTCCTGTACTTTGAGATGTTTTCTTGTGGGTGTCCCCCAATTACTACTACACTCTCTATTCACCTACACGTTTTGGGGTAAAATGAACAGTGTAGATGATGGACACCCTCTCATGTAAAATGGACTCTTTCAATCTGTATACACGTTCACCCATCTCACAGAAGAGAAAACCTGTACTGATGGAGTCTAGTGGATACACATATGACCAAAAGGTATTTCCCCTGTTCTCAAATATATGAAATGACAATATCTATTATTATAGTAAATAATAGTATTTCGGTGTAGTTATTTATTACTGTATATATGTTACAGTCAATGTCTACAATCAGGCAATGTGTACAATGACTGAAATAAACAGTCAATGTGTACATTGCCTGATTCACTCAGTCATTGTGTACATTGTCTAAAATTCCCAGGCATTGCGTACATTGCCTGATTAATTAACTCAATTATTGTACAGATTGACTGATTATTGAACAGGGATTATTGAGAAGACAAGATTAGCATGTGTTTCGTTCCCCAATCTGTTTGAATGAATAAGTGGCGAATATCCAATAAATTCATTAATTGAAGTACAAATGACTTTATTTAGTATGAGCTACGTAACAAAAAAATACACATCAATACTGAAGTAAATTACAGACATGAAATAGTAGCATCTGCTGTTACACAATAAACCCAACTTGTAACACGTGTGGCACACTGCTTCCTACATTGAAGTAAATTACAGACATGGAATAGTAGCATCTGCTGTTACACAATAAACCCAACTTGTAACACGTGTGGCACACTGCTTCCTACATTGAAGTAAATTACAGACATGGAATAGTAGCATCTGCTGTTACACAATAAACCCAACTTGTAACACGTGTGGCACACTGCTTCCTACATTGAAGTAAATTACAGACATAAAAGACATCATTGTTGTTTTGACAATTGACACTGTTGTGGCATCTGCTGTTACACAACAAACACAACTTATAATATTTACACTTATTTGTGACACACTGTTTCCCACTTTTAGAACAGTTACACCTTGCATTGTGGCATCTGCTGTTACACAACAAACACAACTTATAATATTTACAATTATTTGTGACACACTGTTTCCCACTTTTAGAACAGTTACACCTTGCATTGTGGCATCTGCTGTTACACAACAAACACAACTTATAATATTTACAATTATTTGTGACACACTGTTTCCCACTTTTAGAACAGTTACACCTTGCATTGTGGTATCTGCTGTTACACAACAAACACAACTTATAATATTTACAATTATTTGTGACACACTGTTTCCCACTTGTAGAACAGTTACACCTTGCATAACCCTGGTCACCACACTGCACGATCTCATACTTCCCAAGAACGTAATACTGCCGGAACGTCTTCTTCTCAGCTCCTAGTGCAACATTGACTTCTTCAATCAAATTAAAGTACTCTTCTTTAGTCAACAAGATTGACTCCATGATGATAAAAAGAATGAATGTCAAGTCTAGTAAGAAAATACTTGCATTTTATAACATTTCTAGGGAAGCCTGTTCTCTAAGGAAAATTGGATTAATCTAAACTATAAACATTACTTTATTAAAAGAAGCCTCAGTGATCACAGAACGAAACCTGTGCGAACATCATTTCTAGGAAGGCCTTTGCTTTAAGGAAAATTGGATTAATCTAAACTATAAACATTACTTTATTAAAAGAAGCCTCAGTGATCACAGAACGAAACCTGTGCGAACATCATTTCTAGGGAAGCCTTTGCTTTAAGGAAAATTGGATTAATCTAAACTATAAACATTACTTTATTAAAAGAAGCCTCAGTGATCACGGAACGAAACCTGTGCGAACATCATTTCTAGGAAGGCCTTTGCTTTCAGGAAAATATGGATTAATCTAAACTATAAACATTACTTTATTAAAAGAAGCCTCAGTGATCACAAAACGAAACCCATGCTAATCTTGTCTTCTCAATAATCCTTGTTCAACAATCAGTCAATCTGTACAATAATTGGGTTAATTAATCAGGCAATGTACACATTAGACTGTAACATATATATACTTTGTAATGTGACGTAAATAATGTATAACCATTATAACGTATCATCTAGTATTTATCAAGTTTATTTTCATTGGCTAGTTAATTACTTATCAACAAGTGATTACATACATTGTGAAACCTTAATTAAGATGTGAATCCAGAAGTGCCTCGTTAACTAATTAAGCCGTAATTGATCAATTAGTTGTTGATCTTTGTGTTTTTTGTGTTATTGTTCTTATACTTTTCAGGTCAAAGAAGCAGCCATGGCAAATCTGCAAGAGTCTGGACGCTCCATTGCTGAAAAGGTAGACAGACAGACAGATATAGTTTATTAGAGTGTCACGTGACCGATTACATGAAATAAAATACACAATAGACGCAGTAAAACATCGTTCACCCAGCCAATAAGGCTTATGAGACACTATACACAATTTAATAACTATGTACATTTCGTTTTAGAGTAAGGTATAAGAAGAAGTTAAAATGTATAATAATTTTTACAGGAATAGGAGTCGTCTTCTAAAGATGTTATTCACAGTGGTTGATAAAATTAGCGGGTCTGACGTCATTAAAATACTTAATAAATGCACTTTGCCATCATGATTAAAATCTCCATTTATAAAATGATACCTAAGATCCCGAAAAATAACAATGCAAAAGAAAGTGTATCTCGTCTTCCACACAATTACAGAATGAACAAATTCTCTCACACAGAGGGGTGGGGGGTTTGCTGTAACGACCTGTTTCTATACGTAATTGTAGATTACCGCAGCGTCGTTTAGTCAGGTTACTTCTCTTAGCTCTGTTGATGATTCGTAGGTATAGCTCAGGGTGTCTATCTTTCTTGAATAATATGTACGTTCGAAGCTTATTTCCATTTACTTTGTGTTGTTCCACATTTCCGTAAACCATATTTCCTCATCTAGTTTCATTAAAAAAATATTCATTGTTAAATAGTAAGTGGGTATTCGCAGCCTGGCGTCTCTACAAGGACGGAAAGCTGAGCCCTGTGGAACTTCTCCGCTTGTGTATCCAGCTGACTGGGCCAGTGGTATGAACTGTTTCTGACTTGATGCAACTGATCTACATGGATGTCATGTAGTAGTAAATAGTACAAAAGTGCATTTACATGAGGAAAGAACCTACATATATATGTCTTGTTTTTTGTAGAAAATATGATTTGTTGATGTGTAAGAAACATCAAGTTTAGTCTCATCTAACATCTTTTGTCGTTTTTACATCTTGATATCAAATAATGCAACATGGAAAAATGTTATGAGTATTAAAAAATTAAAAAAATAATGTATGGCCATTTTGACCTTTTCTATGGCCATTTTGACTTTTTAGTATGGCCATTTTGACTAGGGCTTGGTAGTCATTTTGACTTTTTTTGTGCCCATTCTGACTTGGGTGTTTTATGGCCATTTTGACGTGTGGTCATGTTGACTAGGACCCGGTATCGTACCCCATCTCCTGGACGTACACTATTAGATATTCTCCAGGGTCTCGGTACTCCCTCATGTATACACAGTACCTCCTGTCATCGATCACCACGCCGTCATCTCATCCAGCGGTAACGTCAAAGTCATTGTCTACTGTCAGCTCCGTATGTTTCAAAGCTGGTCATATGGTGTATAGTTGTCATACTTCATATGTTTTGGTGGGGTGTGGTCCCATATATTGTCTGTAACATACACCACATTCTCCACGTCCTTCTTCGTGTAGGTCTTCCTCCTTCTGTGGCCTTGAGAAGAATAAAATATGACGTTATATTCAATGGAATAACCCTCACGACAATTCTAAGATGCCTAGCGGTTAGAACAATCGAAAAAACAACATTATCAGACAATAAAGGTATAGTTTTTTGATGACGTAACAATTGAATGACGTTATCCCGTCACTGCGCCATTCTAGTGTGCCCCCTCGTAATCGAACCATTTTACATTACGCCACAACGTAAGCGACGTCACGATGCATGTCAGTTGTCATCGCCTCGTACGGCCTCCTACAGTAAACTACACCGTTGCATCCAGTTTCTTGGTTTGCTGTTGCTTCACGCAGCTAACATCACTGGTGGATACATTACGGTTATGTTTTACGACGGTTGAAATGTGTCATTTCGACTCACAAGTTTTCAGCGACACGGTAACGTTCGTAATGTTTACATTCCCACAATGCAATTGTGGAATGTCGCTTGACTACTCAACTTCCTCAGGATGTACTGATCTAAACTTACGTTGGTAGTAGAAATGCAACGTTCATATTGCCCCATATGGTTTACGTTAATGACAGATGTAATTAAAATAATTCAGAGAAGATATTTAATCCGAACGTAAACCGTCATCAAACTGTTATCATTTGTTTTTTTCTGGTAACGTTCGTCATAACGTAGGGGGCACACACATCAATAGAACAGCGCCCCAGTTACCCCTGTGCGAGGATTCTTAATTTAGGTCACCGACACCGTCGTTTGTTTTCTGCCTTAAATTAATCGTAATTATCTTTAGAAAGTATTACATTTGGCATCTTAGAAAAGAAATACACTTCGCCCTACCACCCTTTAACGTTATAATAGTTCAGGGCGAAGGTGTGTTTTATTACACTATACATGGTGGTAGGGCGAAGTGTATTTCTTAATTAAGGTCACTAATTCATACTATGCACGATTAATGTTAATCATTGCCACCACGTGTACGCCTCACTATAGCACGAACTTCTCGTTTGCATTCGTACCTGCAACGTTTCTTGATAGTCGGCCAATACCCGGTGATTACGTTCAAGCGAATTATGAAGTGGTAGTACCTTAAGTCGAATAATATGCTACTAAATACAGGGGGCCTCAGCACACATCTGTGTATATGTACACTGTCACCCAAAGGTTCATTGATGACTCCTGCAACGAAGACCTGACCCATGTACAGCATGCTCACCATCAGGTCAAGTAAACCGCTTCTGTTACAATGTAATAAGCATCCCGTTTATGCAGGTATACACCAACAGGTCAAGTAAAACGCTTCTGTTACAATGTAGTAAGCATCCAGTCTATGCAGGTATACACCAACAGGTCAAGTAAAACGATACTGGTACTGGTTACAATGTAGTAAGCATCGAATCTATGCAAGTATACACCATCAGGTCAAGTAAACCGCTTCTGTTACAATGTAGTAAGCATCGAATCTATGCAGGTATACACCATCAGGTCAAGTAAAACGCTTCTGGTTACAATGTAGTAAGCATCGAATCTATGCAGGTATACACCAACAGGTCAAGTAAAACGCTTCTGGTTACAATGTAGTAAGCATCGAATCTATGCAGGTATACACCAACAGGTCAAGTAAAACGCTTCTGGTTACAATGTAGTAAGCATCGAATCTGCAGGCAGGTATACACCATCAGGTCAAGTAAAACGCTTCTGGTTACAATGTAGTAAGCATCGAATCTATGCAAGTATACACCAACAGGTCAAGTAAACCGCTTCTGGTTACAATGTAGTTAGCATCGAATCTATGCAGGTATACACCAACAGGACAAGTAAAACGCTTCTGGTTACAATGTAGTAAGCATCGAATCTATGCAGGTATACACCAACAGGTCAAGTAAAACGCTTCTGGTTACAATGTAGTAAGCATCGAATCTATGCAGGTATACACCAACAGGTCAAGTAAAACGCTTCTGGTTACAATGTAGTAAGCATCGAATCTATGCAGGTATACACCAACAGGTCAAGTAAAACGCTTCTGGTTACAATGTAGTAAGCATCGAATCTATGCAGGTATACACCAACAGGTCAAGTAAACGGCTTCTGTTACAATGTAGTAAGCATCGAATCTATGCAGGTATACACCAACAGGTCAAGTAAAACGATAATTTACGAAGCACCGGTTTACGAAGCACTTGACAATAGGTCAAGTAAAACGCTTCTGGTTACAATGTAGTAAGCATCGAATCTATGCAGGTATACACCAACAGGTCAAGTAAAACGCTTCTGGTTACAATGTAGTAAGCATCGAATCTATGCAGGTATACACCAACAGGTCAAGTAAAACGCTTCTGGTTACAATGTAGTAAGCATCGAATCTATGCAGGTATACACCAACAGGTCAAGTAAAACGCTTCTGGTTACAATGTAGTAAGCATCGAATCTATGCAGGTATACACCAACAGGTCAAGTAAAACGCTTCTGGTTACAATGTAGTAAGCATCGAATCTATGCAGGTATACACCAACAGGACAAGTAAAACGCTTCTGGTTACAATGTAGTAAGCATCGAATCTATGCAGGTATACACCAACAGGTCAAGTAAAACGCTTCTGGTTACAATGTAGTAAGCATCGAATCTATGCAGGTATACACCAACAGGACAAGTAAAACGCTTCTGGTTACAATGTAGTAAGCATCGAGTCTATGCAGGTATACACCAACAGGTCAAGT